TATATATATATATATATATATATATATATATATATATATATATATAAACTTAACTCCAAACTTTGAACAATACTGTAGTTGATATTAAAGTGTGAAAAAACTCAACCAAGGCATTATCAGAAAACACAGAAAAAATGCATTTAAAATGTGTTTAATTAAACTTCAAAAATATATATCTTCCTAATATAATATGTCATTGTATTGAGATGTGTTTTGCCTTGAAATTTGGCTTTATTCTCTATGACTCTTTTTACTAGAATGTTTTAGCAACATTCGTGAAACAATTGTGGTTGAATAATTTTACAAAATGCAATTTGTCCTCCGGCTGGGTTCAAATTTGACTTTGAATCTGTGTCACACCAGGATCAAAGCAGCTTACAAACCAACTATCTCTCACCCCCTGCTAACTGCACAAAATCTTCTTCAGTGCTCATCCACATCACCGTCTGCTCCTCTGTTCATGACTGAAAGATTGCTATTCAAGACGGCATGAAGCATAAACTGAATTTTAAATGGGAAATAATGGGGGGGGGGACTTGATTTCACTCATCAGGATTTGATTGAATTTTGAAAAATGGACTATGATATTATTGTTAATTTTGCCCCTCCAGTTTGGCCTGGGTTACATCAGCAGAAAAGTCATTTCTGAGCTGGAGAATGTTATATTTTAATAAAAATATATGAAAACAAACATTTCATGAAAGCAAACATCCCATTCCCACTCTTTCCCCATTTTTTCTTGTCCACTCTCAGTCTCGTCTCAATATGGAGTGGCAAAAAGGCCAATAAGAGCATGCGTCTCTGTGTAGAGAGTGACTAGATTGGGCTTTTTCAGATGTGTGGACTGCGAAGTCGTGTTTGCTATAGCAACGGATCCGATGTTACATAATGCAGCAGGAATAGGAAGAGGGCTAGAGGTCTGGCTGGCTTAATGTGGGAGATGCAGCAGGATATTTTTAGGATTCTCGTGTTCTTCCTCCTCTCTTGCACTGCAAGTGATGCAAGCAGGACGCAGATGAGGATGGTACAGGACACACACTGAGCTGCGTTTTCAACCCGTTTTTGAGTGACTGTTGACTTGTACGTTGCTGTCGAAAATATGACACCATATGAACACAAAGATAAGCACATCTTGCCCATGATTTATCTATATGCAATGGCCTCTGAACTTCAATAACTGCTGCATTGCCTTATATTTGTACAGTGAAACACCAGTTGTGTGATTACATAATATTACATAGGGAAGCATGTAGTTCCATATCAGTTTTTAGCTGATATTAGAGTTTTTGTAATTTATCAGGATTAGTTTGTGCTGTGTATTTAATTGTGATCCTCATTTCCATTTTTAACATTTAGATTATCATCGGCTAACACTTACTTTTTATATAATCTTTAAAAACACTAATAAATGTAACACTGGTAAATGTAATCTTTAGCCAATTAATTAATTATTCATTTTTCATGTTGTATGTAATAATATGATGCCTAAATTTACATGTGTGAAAGTTATTGTATTATTTTACTTTATTTTTCATTTATTTAGAATATTGAAAAAATTGCTATTTTATTTATATTTATCTATTATGGTAGTGTTATCTTAGCATTTTATATATATATATATATATATCTTACATTTTTCATGTAAGATTTTACATTACTTTAGCTTAATTTCAATTACTGAAAAGTTTTTCAGTCATAACCAACAATAGTTATTAGCTATAATATGAAAATAATATCTGCCAGAATTTAAATACGTCTATGTACTGTAGTTATGCATCCCTAACATTATTTTAAAAGCTTGAAGTCTGAAAGATGGAAACTGTAAAGATCAGCTTAGTTTTATTTTAATATCTTTTATACAGTAAATAACAGCTATAATGAAAACATTGTATATATAATCTGATCTGTAGATTTATAAAACTTCATCCTTTTGGAGGACTTTTCCTCCATGAGTCAAATGAACAGCTGAGCTGCATTGGTCTTGGAAAGCATCTCTCATCCGTCTTAGAGGTTGTCTGCTGTTTTCTCTCCAGAGACCAGACTTGATTTTCCACTAGATAGGAGAGCACAGGGACAATCTAGCTATAAATAACCTGGGAGAATAGCTGCTCTTTGAACAAAAGCTGTGATAGGTCTGTTCATCCATCTGTGCTGGAGGACACAGAGGTTTTACAGAGATGTGAGATGTCAGACTGTGTTAGCTAAAATACAAAAGCACCACGCTAGGGTTTCTTACATAAGTCTTCTTTAAAGGTGAGTCTGATGACTAAGATGTTCTCTGATAGAACTGCGGCGTCACTGAGATTGTGGTGCGTCTGCTTTGTGCTGTAATGAAAAACTGAAGTGACTTGTTAGAATTCTCCTCACTTCTCTTTTCCAATGTGGCTTCAGGAAAAACATTTAATGTGACCGAATTTACCTGATTAGGATACACCAGTAATTTTGAGGGTCAGCTAAAGTAGAAACAGTTCCTTAAAAGGATAATTCACCAAATAATGTAAGATAGGGCTGTTTGATTATGACAAAAATCATTTTCATGATTATTTTTGCCCACTACTTTTTCCATGAATACTTGTTCACTTTGGAAACATGAACTCTTCTTTTAAGCTGAGTTTAAATGAAAAATAAATAGAAAATACTGACATAAAACAAATAGTCCGGAGCTAAATATTTTTTTAAGAGATGCTCATACTAGTGCAAGGCCAAAGTTCATGATGCATGAATAATTGAGTGATTTTGACTTGTGTGAATCCAGAAGGATCAATAACTCAGAGACACTGCCTGAAGAGAAGCACTTTAGAGAGCACCATCATTTTCTTTCACATTCATTGGCTGCCAAAGAATATCATGTTTGTTTCGCCTCTTATTTATGGAGTACTAAAATAAAAGGCTTTATATTGTTTGTTTTGAATTTAAAATAGTTCACTCAGAAATGAAAATGTACTCACCCTCATCTTGGTCATCCAAGATGTAGATGAGTTTGATTTTTCATGGGAACAGATTTGGAGAAATGTAGCATTATATTATTTGCTCAGTAATGGATCAAAAATAGTTCACTCAGAAATGAAAATGTACTCACCCTCATCTTGGTCATCCAAGATGTAGATGAGTTTGATTTTTCATGGGAACAGATTTATGGGAACAGAGAAATGTAGCATTATATTATTTGCTCAGTAATGGATCATCTGCAGTGAATGGGTGCCATCAGAATTAGAATCCAAACAGCTGATAAAAACATTTATAAAGCTGCATGTTTGTAATAAATCATAATCCATCATTTTTAAATTTAAACTCTTGGTTCCAGCTTAATAAGAGTCCTCTATTCATAAAATTTCTTTCTCCAGTGAAAAGTCATCTCTTCTGAATCAGGAGAGAAATATGCACAGATCAAGCACTGTTTAAGAGCAAAAACTGTCCATAACAATTCTGAACAAACAAACAGTTCTGGAAGTGAAACAAATGCCTTAATGATGGATTTGTTACTTCACAAGACATTAATAGATGGACTGGAGTTGTGAGTATTTGTGGATTATTATCAGCTTTTTGGACTCTCATTCTGACGGCACCCATTCACTGCAGAGGATCCATTGGTGGGCATGTGATGTAATGCTAAATTTCACACAATCTGGTCTATTGAAGAAACAAGCTCATCTTGGATGGCCTGAGGGTGAGCAAATGTTCAGCAAATTGTCATTTCTGGGTGAATTACTCCTTCAACACTGAATTCAGTTCACTGAACAGTTTTTGTTTGAGGTTGAACTGTCACGTCGGGACGAGTAATGAAATCCTGTATTTGGGTGTTTCAGGAATGGTGTAGGGCGAGGAGGCCCTGTAGATGTGTGTCATGAAGCTTCTCACCGCCTGAGGTAAGAGTTCACTGTTCTGTCTTTCTTATTCACTCTGTCATTCACATTCTCACCTACACTACATTGTATTGAAAGCACTCAAAAAAATGCTGGGTTAAATACAGTGCTGGGTAAAATATGGAAAACTCAGCGATTGGGTTGTTTTGACCCAGCGGTTGCTTCTTTGCTGAGGGAAATGGTGGTCTGCCCCGAAAATCATGTCTATTAAAGATATTCAGAAATGGGTTTGAGGCAGATAGTTACAAGTAAATGACATGCCAGTCTGAGTCTATACAGAGGATCATTTGAGATGCGTAAGAGATATCATTTGTGATATTCATTTCCCATGAGTTTCTTTGACTATCTATTGATTTTTTTTTCTTTGTCAAATCCTAAATAAGCCTAACCTGAAACCTACCATACAAGACCACTCACTGAGCTCTTAATCGAATACATTAGCCACAGAAATCCATTCAGACCTCTGTCCATCTTTAAAACCATCACACAGACAGGGTCTGGCTCCAGATCAAGGGGGTTGTTTGGGGGTGTATGTGTACAATGCAAAATGTAACTATATTATCGCCCAGCCATCTGACATCAAAGCCTCGTTCTCATTTACAGTTTCTTCTTTTTCACAGTGACCTCATAAAGGGAGCACTTTCGCATTCAAAATGATGATGCATAAGGTAATTAAAAGTCATTTTTTCATTTTCATTATTTGTTCATAAGAAATAACATAATACATAATCATAAAACTTTGAAAACAACCCAATCACTGGGTTTGTCCAGATTTTATCCAGCGCCGGGTTGTATTTAACCCAGCATTTTTGCTTTAGATATATTTTCCGAAAAAATCCAGATAAAACCTATATCTATAAATTAAATGGATGAATGAGAGCAGATTTTTTTTGTGTGTCAATCTGCTTCTAGCCAATGAAAATTGTTCATGAAATCTAAATGTAAATGGATTAAAGGGACAGTTCACCCAACTGCATCTGTGGAACAGAAAAGAAGATATTTCACCATATTAGACCCCATTAACTTTCATTGTTTGTACAAAATTACATTTGTGTTTCAGAGAAGAAATAAGGTCATGATGGTGAACAAATGATTTTTGGGTGAACTAGATCTGTAAATAAACCATTACATTTTTTTTTAAAACTGATTGTAAACAATGAAATGAAGTTTATTTGTGTTATTTTAGCTCATTTGAATGAACCAAAAAGAATGTTTTTAGTAATGGGATAATGGAATTAAAGCTGTAAATATACTGTTATTGTAGTTTTCTGTGCTTTTAGTTCTGTACTTGTATTTTTGTGCTTTTATGCTAATCCTCAGTCCCAATACGAACCCTAATTTGACTCATTTTTAGAAGACTGTCAGGATTTGTACTTGCACTTGACATAGTTCCTGGTTAAATGGGGGAAGGGAGTCACTGTCGCCTGTCACGCTATCCGTCTGTGCTGACTGCAGCAGGGATGTAATGTGTTTTATCATCCCTCTCCATCTCCATCACATCCCTCCCCCATCCTTCACTTTCTCCATCCATCCGTCTCTCTTTATCCATCCTCTCTATCCATTTATCTGCCCTCCCCCTTCTCTGCCACCCAGGCCGCTATCTTTTCTTTCACTGTGTTTACATCAGAGTCTGTATCTCCTTCTCTTCTCACACCCTTCCCAAAGTAAACATGGTTTGCTCTTTCATAGGAGACGTCATGCATTCTCAGTTATGTTTTACAGGTTTCCTAACTTCTATTGGTTTAATTTGGCATTAAGAGTGCTATTTAAGTGATTATGTAAAAGAGGAAAATGGAAACTGTATTTATTAAGAATGATATGATTGGTTAGTTTATGACATTCATTAATACTTTTTTAGTACTAATTAATAGTTTGATATCAGCACTTCTTTGCTGAGGGAAATGGTGGTCTGCCCCGAAAATCATGTCTATTAAAGATATTCAGAAATGGGTTTGAGGCAGATAGTTACAAGTAAATGACATGCCAGTCTGAGTCTATACAGAGGATCATTTGAGATGCGTAAGAGATATCATTTGTGATATTCATTTCCCATGAGTTTCTTTGACTATCTATTGATTTTTTTTTCTTTGTCAAATCCTAAATAAGCCTAACCTGAAACCTACCATACAAGACCACTCACTGAACTCTTAATCGAATACATTAGCCACAGAAATCCATTCAGACCTCTGTCCATCTTTAAAACCATCACACAGACAGGGTCTGGCTCCAGATCAAGGGGGTTGTTTGGGGGTGTATGTGTACAATGCAAAATGTAACTATATTATCGGCCAGCCATCTGACATCAAAGTCTCGTTCTCATTTACAGTTTCTTCTTTTTCACAGTGACCTCATAAAGGGAGCACTTTCTCATTCAAAATGATGATGCATAAGGTAATTAAAAGTCATTTTTTCATTTTCATTATTTGTTCATAAGAAATAACATAATACATAATCATAAAACACTGAAAAGGTCCATGTGATGTTTGACCTTTGACCTGTGTGTGTTTGTGAACAGCAGTCGGCCCGTACCTCCCCGGGCAGCGTTTGTTCTCTGCGTGGAGGAGGTGTTCCTGGATCCCCGGCCGTCACTATAGTGGTGTGTATAGCAGCAGTGCCTGCTGGGATGTGATTAGCACATCAGATTACACTTAACTAGGCCCACACACAGTGGACCAACATCTTGATTGCAATACAGAATGCAGTCAATCCAAATACATTCAAGGACCAGAACTAACTGTAATAATAACTGTGTCTCAAAATGGTATCACAAATGTAATTCTTTCATATTTTGGATTAATACAGGCCAAAATGGACAATCAAGTGATTGGATATAAGGATCTAGCAGCTATACCTAAAGACAAGGCCATTCTGGATATAGAGAGGCCTGACCTGATGATGTATGAGCCCCACTTCAGCTATTCACCGATGGAGGTAATACACAGTATATACAGCAAATGCTTTTCAAAAGTTTGGGGTCAGCAAGATTTGTTTTAAAGAAAAGATGCATTAAATTGGTTCTGTTTTTTTTTCTTTTGAACTTTCTATTAATCAAAGAATCCTGAAAAACTGTATGATTGTTTCCACAAAATATTAATAATAATCAGAAATGTTTCCTGAGCAGCAAATCAGCATATTAGAATGATTTCTGAAGGATCGTGCGACACTGAAGACTGATGCTGAAAATTGAGCTTTGGCTCACAGAAATAAATTACAGTTTACAATATATTCAATATATTCTGTAACACACTCTGTCTGTCAGCGTGTGTGATGTGTTCACTGGTTAGTTTCCTGCTGGGTGTGATGTCTCGCCATCAGAGCGCCTGAACAGAGATCAGCACACACACACACACACACACACGTCATGCTAGCTCGGCTCTCCCACTGTAATTTCCTTTTTTGTTTCACTGTAATGGAAGCGTTACGCTTCATTAAATCTGTAAACCTGTCTGTGGAAATGTCTGGATATCTGACTTACTGCCAACAACTGACCTCCCTTTCACTCTTTCTGTCTGTATCTCTCTTTTTCTTTCTCTAGAGGTCATTATCTCCTCGTTCAATCTCCCCTCCTCCATCCCCAGAGGTAAGATGCATAGTACATGTCCGTGAAAATCACAAATATGTCATATACATTTTAATATATGCCATGACATGAGGTTTTGCCAGTCAGATTAGAGGACCAGAAGTAAATGTTTGTTTAATGGAAAGAAGGTAGTTTGCAAATAACATAGACATTTAGGTTACAAATTCTATACATTATATTATACTTTGTTGTCAGTAAGATTTTTTAATGTTTTTGAACAAAGTCTCTTATGCTCACGAGGCTGCATTTATTGGAATAAAAAATAGAGTAAAAACTGTAATTTGTAAATTATTTAAAATAACTCTTTTCTATTTTAAAATATTTTAAAATGTCATTTATTTCTGTGATGCAAAGCTGAATTTTCAGCATCATTACTCCAGTCTTCAGTGTCGCATGATCCTTCAGAAATCATTCTAATATATTACTCCAGTCGAGCAGGGATTTGCTGTTCAAGAAACATTTCTTAATATTATCAATGTTGAAAACAGTTGTGCTTTTTAATATTTTGTAGAAACCATAATACTTTTTTTCCAGGATTTTTTAATGAGCAGAAAGTACAAAAGGCAGCATTTATTTGAAACAGAAATCTTTTGCAACGTTAGTTGCATGACAAAAAGTCATTTGACTTTTGATCAGTTTCTTGTGTCCTTGCTGAATAAAGACTAAATATTTAAAAACTCTCTGACCCCAGATGTTTGAATGGTTGTATAAAATGTAAAACTGAAATAGTCTAAATAACTAAAATAGTCCTAAAATACAGTTGACAAATTCATTAAAAAAAAATTTTGTTTTTTTTTCCTCCGGTTTTTTTTTCTCTCAATATGAGTTAATGAACATTATGTATAATAATTCCAAAATTAGACAAATTTTATTTAAAACTTGTTTAAAATAGCCAGGATTTAATCAAAGTGATATTTTTAAATATTGTATATTTTTATTACCATTTTCACTGAATTATGTGCAAGGTGTTCCTAAATACATATAGCACAAATATATAAATCAAACAAACTATATGAAGGAAAGTTTGGAATTCCCCTCTCTAAGTTTTTGAAAGAAAACCCTTTTTAACATCAGATCAGCGTTGAAGTCATAATCCACCAGAGGTCTTGCATCACAGCTATTTCACCAGGTTCAAGGACCAAACTATCTATTTTAGAATCTGCTTTAGAGTCTCTCTGCATGATTCTCAATCACACAGTCCTTCTACATGTAATTCCAGAACACTCTATCAAAGGATGTCTATCAGAGGGATTGGTCAGAGCCCAAGTCGTCAGGCAGCTCGTCTCCAGCGTCCACACAGCTGAGTAAAAGCATCACCGTCAGCACAAAAGTCCCACACCAGCAACAGCACTTCCACAGGCCAGGTTAGGTACTATAGCACCTCACAAACACAGCCAACAAACCTCAGTCAACATCAGACTCTAAAACTAAACAAAACAACCTCACTTTTCCTCCTAGACAATGGAACCGACATATACAAGAAGCCACCAATATATAAACAAGGTATGAAACATCAACACTGCTCTTGAGTTTAAATCAAATTCAGTGTAAATGGTGTAATTCTGGCGCATTCAGATGTGTCTGTGTATTTGAATGGGTGTAGATGTCTCAGCAGCCGCTCCACACAGTAAACACATGGAGGATTTAATCATTGAGTCTTCAAAGTTTCCCGCCGCACAACCTCCAGACCCCAACCAGCCCTCTAAGATAGAGACGGACTACTGGCCCTGCCCTCCCTCACTAGCTGTTATCGGTAATACACTCACACGCTATCAACATGATCACAACCTGCTGTACACAATCTGCTACATGCCTTCATGGAAATAATTCAGTGTACACGCATACATGGAAATAAAATTTCCCTCTGGGCAGTAATGAATTTAGCTAGATGCTAATGTTAACAGCACAGTATCAAGGCCCAGTTTGTTGATGTGGTAGTTGTTCATCGACTTTTTATCTCACGATCACGTGTTTGTATCACAGAGAAAGAGCGGAGGAAGAGTGTGGCGTCCAGGGTGGCTGAGGGAGAGGAGGGTGAGGAGGATGATAAATATGATGACAGTGATCTGTCTGAAGACATGTGGAGACTTCGGCAAATGCAGAAACAAGAGCTCAACAAGGTGTTTGTCCGTAAAATGATCTTATCTGTAAACTTACAGTGGCTGTTCAAGGGTAATTGTGATGTGTCAAGCAGTTTCCTGAAGTTAAACTATTCTAAATTGCATTTTTTTCATTCTCGTATTATTATTATTATTTAAAGAAATGAATAAGTTTACTCTGCAAGACTGCATTAAATGAATAAAAAGTGACCGTTAAGACATTTTTAGTTTTTCGACATTTTTATAAGATTTTGAATACATTTTTTTTTACTTTATATTCATTTAAGAATCCTGTAAAAATGTTTCACATTTTTCACCAAAAAAATATAAAAACAACTGTTTTTGACATTGATAATATACTTAAATGATTATCATGATAATAAATAATAATACATTTGATAATAAATTTTTTGAGCAGCAAATCAGCATATTAGAATGATTTCTGAAGGATCATGTGACACTGAAGACTGGAGTAATGATGCTGAAAATTCAGCTTTGAAACCCATCATAGGAATTAATTTCTCATAATTATTTTAAGATATATTAAAACAGAAAGCTATTTTTAAACTATCTGTACTGTGTTTTTGATCATATAAATGCAGCTTTGGTGAGCATACGAGACTTATTTCAAAAACATAAAAAAATCTTTTGAACTCCAGAAGTTTGAACAGTAGTGTACATGCAGTTTTATTAATACAAATATTTAATTTTTTGTATATTTATTTATTTATATATTTTATATTATACATCTTTACTTTTCGTTTTTTTTTTAACCTTATTTTTTTAAGAAACCGAGGCTAAAGGTTTATTGGGTTGGCTCTTATTTGTGAGATCATTTGTCTCACTCGACCTTCAAGTGAAGGCCACAGTTGGTTTCAAATGAAGGACAAATCTGTAGGGATTCTTGCATATCTTGTCGAAACAGGGAGCCAAGCTGATCAATACAGACTCTCAGTCTGGGTATAATGTTTCAGTGTCCACCTCTCCTCTCATTCTCTCTCTCTTCACAGATTCAATCCAATCTAGGAAAATTGATACTAAAGGAGGAGATCGAAAGTACAGCCCCTGTCCGAAGGAAAACACAGTCTCTGCCCGACAGGACACACATGCATCTGGGTACATTTCAATATGCTTGTGTGGTTGTCACTGTGTGGACGTGATTTTCACAAAACTGTCTCATAAGGAATCACAGAACAGAAAGATACTCAGAGATGTGCAGCATTACATACAGCAACTGCTGTGTGTACTGGACATCTGAGTCAGTCTTTCCACCTGCAATCAGAGCTTATGCACGGCAGACTAATAATCTGAATCAGATTAGAGTTTATAGGTCTCTAGGGGAAAGGTCAGAGTCTAGAGAACTCAATTTGAACCGTTTTGATCATTGCATTATACTTTGTATTGTGTGGCACTGAAAATGGATGTGATTGGAGTAAATCACAAAAGCCAGTTGACCTTGTACTTACAGTGGCCCCTTCTGGTTGAAAAAAAGTGACGTGACATGTGGCCAAGTATGGTGACCCATACTCGGAATTAGTGCTCTGCATTTACCCATCCAAAGTGCACACACACACACACACAGCAGTGAACACACACACACCCGGCGCCCGGGGAGCAGTTGGGGGTTCGGTGCCTTGCTCAAGGGCACCTCAGTCATGGTATTGAAGGTGGGAGAGAGCGCTGTACATTCACTCCCCCCCACCTACAATCCCTGCCGGTACGAGACTCGAACCCACAACCTTTGGGTTATGAGTTTGACTCTCTAACCATTAGGCCACGACTTCCACTGCATACACTGCATACACACGACACATCACATATCCCTAATAGAAAACGTGTTGGCTTCAGCATCATTGCTGGGTTAAGATGATTATTTGAATGCTATTTGTGTCACTACATTAACATGTTTCTTCTTTTCTTTTGTGCAGCCTCCAAATCCCCCTCATTTCCTTCCTACACTAAGACTGGCCTGACTAGGGTGAGAAACTGAAATCTGTTTTGATATGTCAGCTTTGTGAGATCCTTCCATAATTACACTGATTTAATTAGTCTGTTGTTTGTGTGTTACAGCTCCAGTCTGCAGAGTTCTCCTCTTCAAACAGTGATAAAGGGAGTCAAAGTAAGTGTGGGGATTATGACATTTCTATTCTATTCTATTCTGTACTGTTTTTTTGCATTTGTTACACTTCAATCAGAGTGGCAGCATTAAGAGTCATAATTGTATTCTATTTTATTCTGTTCTAAAGACTAGAACGATTTTTGCCATGTTTATTTGGAATTTAATCAAAGCTCCGGAATTAAGAGCACTGATCTCTATTCTATTCTATCCTAATAGTGGAGCAATTTTGTCATGTTTATTTTTACTTCAATTAGATCACCAGTATCAAGGCACAATTCTATTATTATTTTTTCATTTGCTACACTTCAATCAGTGTCATTATCAAGAGTCATAATTGTATTCCATTTTATTCTATTATAAAGAGTACAGCAAATTTTTGCCATGTTTGTTTGAAATGTATTCAAAGTTCCAGTATTATAAGCACTCATTTCTATTCTCTCTATCTAATAGTAGAGTCATTTAATAAAGAGTCCTTTTTGTCATATTTATTTACACTTCAAACAGAGTCCCAGTTTTAAGTCATAATTCTGTTCTATTCTTTTCAAAATAGTAATTAAGTGTACAAGTATTGTCATGATGTAATCCTATTCTGTTCTATTCTTTCTATTCCATTCGTTTCTAAATAGTAGATCAGTTTTTGCCATGTTTATTTTATCAGAGCAAGTTCCAGTATTAAGAGCACTGATCTCTATTCTATTCTATTAATAGTAGTAATTTTTCTCATATTTATTTACACTTCAATCAGAGTGCCAGTTTTAAGAGTCATAATTCTATTCTATTCTAAACAGTAATGTAGAGTGGCAGCATTGTCCTAGTGTAATTCTATTCTGTTCTGTTCTACTATTCTATTGTTATTCATCTAAATAGTAGGTCCGTTTTTGCCATGTTTATTTGAAATTTAATCAGAGTAAGTTACAGTATTACGAGCACCGATTTCTATTCTGTTCTATTCTATTCATTTTTGTCTTTTTAACATTTGTTACACTTCAGAGTGCCAGTATTATAAGTCATAATTCTATTTTTACAGTAGTTAGAGTACTGATTTGATATCAATTTAATTATAAAATATATCAGTCATTAAGAGTCATAATTATATTCTATTCTATTTAGAATGTAGTATGTTTATTCACATTTTATTTAGAGTGCCGATAGTCATTATTCTATTGTATTGTGTTTTGTTGCGTTCTATTCTCATCTTTTTTAAATGAATATACATGTTTTATACCCCATGCTCATTGTATTGTCATTTGTTTCTCTCCCTCTTTTGTTTTTATTTAATTTTCTTTTCAGATTTCCAGGTATGTAATAGTTTACATTAAAATAAATGTTTTTTAAACAGATGAACAGATTAATTTATACATTGTATTTGAAACCAACTTTGTTCAAACCCCCTTAAGTAACGAATACAATACAAGCCACTCATACGTTGACAATTTCAGTGTTAGCGTTTCAGAAATAATCAAATAGTTTATCAACTCAAGCTCTGCAACCTTCAATCTCATTCGTTTTACAACAGTTACAATCAGATTGTTGTAACAACTGCACAAATCACAGTTGTGGAATGTGGTCTTATGGTGGTCTCCTCTCTTTTATAGAACGGAGATGCCCAAAGCAGAAGAATAGACAGAGGGAATTCACTCCCTAGTATGCTGGAACAAAAGGTGATGTAACCATATCATCTGCCAACTAATTAAGATTATTGTGTTTAATGCTTGTATATATGAGCTCTTGTATACAGTATATTGTTACTTAAAGTGACAGTTTGATCCTGGTTCATTAATATTGTTATGAACATATATTCGTTTGGCAGATTTACCCATATGAGATGCTCATTGTGACACACAGAGGCAGAAACAAGCTCCCTCCTGGTGTAGACAGGACAAGACTGGAGGTAGACATTGCTTTCGCTCATTGTTTTACCCTGTTGCACTGTTCTGCTGGGAAACGTTGACCACATAACCTCTCTCTCCAGAGGCACCTGTCACCTGAGGAATTCCAGAATGTCTTTGGAATGTCCATAGAGGAATTCGACCAGCTCTCCCTTTGGAAGCAGAACGTCCTGAAAAAGAAAGTCTCTCTCTTCTAGTAGTCGGAGAAATACGTTCTTTTACAAACACTGTCACGCATCTGCACTTCTGCTTGTGAAAACAGTACAGGCGGTACAAGTTAAGGAAAGATGAGGAATGTGATTATGGAGCCAGCAAAAAAAATCAGCTATCCTTATCGTTTGATAAGCCCCATATCTGATTGCAGCTAACAATCATATCCGAGACTTTGATGTCGTCTCTTTTTCTAGTTGCAGCTACTATGTCAGGACTTCACTGAGGTTCTCTTCTGTGTGTGCTTAGTAAAGCTATACACCGATATGAATGCTACGAATACACATGAAACAGATATGAATCACACCAGTTATTTGAGCAGACCAAATCCCTGCAGAACATTTCAGATGGACCAGCAGGAATCTGTGAGTTTAAGTCACTGCCACACTTTTCAGCCTTTATGTGCTAAGCATGAATTAACAAACCTTCAGAATATGGGTCAGTGACTTTTTTTGGTCCAGATTTATTCATTTGTTAAAAAGAGATTTAAAATGTACAATTTATACATAGAAAGAGTTGAATAAACCTCTTCTTTGATGAGCATGATTTTATTTTCTGAATTCAATAAAAAATCATAAAAATGACGGAACTGTCCTGATATAAAGAAGTTCTCGAAAAGAGATTTGGCATACTTTTTTTATTTTTACTCTTTACAAAAATGTGTAATATTTTAACAAAACTGCTTCACTGCTTATTAATGTTTTAGTTTTTTTTTACTTTTGTTGCTAAATCAAAATCATGTGGTTTAACCGACATGCAGGAAAAAGATTGGAAATTAACATCATTAGGTTAATATAATAATTAGACATCTTTATGACACGGCACTGAAAATTCTTCATTATAATTATGAATAACAATTCATGAAATGTCCTTAATTCATTTCAATAAAAAATGTAAGGTATAAACATTTTTAAAAGCCATATAAAACCAGCATACATCAATACAAAGAACACAAATTGGCATGTGCTTTAAAATAGATTTTTTTTTTATTTACGTTTTTTTAATTCTTTATGGTGGACAGTCTCATTTGTCACTGACCCATATCTGTAAAAGCAGCTCAGTATTTGAATTAAGCAAATCATGGAATTAAGTACAATTTATACTAGAGACTCGAGACGCACATGTTGCACACCCTCATTCCTTACACCTTAACACCAATATTACCCACGCAAATACCAGCGGCTCAATATACAGGTGTAGCAACAGCTGATGATTCCGAGTGAGAGTTTGCTGTTCCAAAGAGAGCTACTGTACATTAGTGAGAGTTTACTGAATATTGGATATGAGACGTATGAATCCCGCATGGCAAATGTATCCTGCTTTTCTTCAGTGATGATGGATTGTGAATTGTGGGTGTGAGCAATACTTCTCCTCTTCCGCAGGATGTATAGATCGAACCGTTTCACTCGCTCCCTCGATCCTATCGTCTTTTTCTCTCCCTCCTCCCCGTTTTGCTGCTATTGCCTTTACTGTTTTGGTTCTATCCTCTTTTGTTCTTGACGGGTGGACATGTTTTTTATAGTGTTCCTGTTTTATAGGATAAGGATAGGTTCGGATATAAAGGGATTTCAGACGTTAGCACCCGATGGTTGCTGTTAGTCTGAAGGATTGATTTTGCAGCCCTGGTTTTTGCTTTGTGTAGCTTGACAAATACAAGGTTGAGCAGAATTCAGAGTCAAACAGCTTTTCAGTGCATGAATGTGAATTTGAATTGCATTGGTCAAGACCCACAGGATGTTAAACTGGAATTAGAGGAAGATGAATTTACTGAACTGCTATTTTTTTTTTTTAAATGCACACGTTCACACAGCAGTGATATTTCATTGGTCCACATTTTGCAACAAGGAAAACACAATTTTATTGATTAACTATATTAGTTATAATTATATGAAAAATAATTAACATTCATATTGACTAATTAGTCAAATTATTAATTCATTATTCATATTTAAATGATAACAATACATAATTTATATTTCTATAATATAGCATTTTGTGTATATATGATTTTATAAAATGTTGTGTTAAATAAAATATATATGTAAATATACATTATATATTAAATAAATGAATTATAATGAATGAAATCAATATTATTATGCAGTGGTGATGTGTAAAAACTAGCAGGCGCATGTTTTTTTTTATTTCATTTTAATTCTACGTTTTAAAATCCAATTGGAATTTGAAAGGCATTCTCTATTCTGTTCCGAATGGCACACAACCCTGCAGTTCATATATTCTTCTTGCCCACGTCAAAATTCAATATGAATTTCTATTCTTTTATTGCTCCAGTGACCAAATGAAGTGCTTGGATAGAGTGCATGCTTTGTATCCAGAGTTTGTACCTAATAAAGCAGAACAAACATGTTATAAGTACAAAACAATCACTAAAAAGCAACACATATATCAACTTGAGAATGTACAGTAGACGTACAAATATAGACATTCCACATTCATTTTTGTAGAAGCACTGCTCAAAAGGAAATATGTGGCTATATGCATATTAACAACCCCGTAGTATTATTTGTTGTTTTAATGGCAGTTCTTTCAACAGAACATATATTATGTGAACACAATCTGACACCCGATTTATACTTCTGCTATTTGAAATCTTTTCTTGTGTGACTGAAGGGGCACAAACTCATCACAATGATCAAATGATCATCAAAATACATACTTTTTTTTTTTGTTCAGTGGCAGCTTAAAGTGGTTTTCTGGTCTGAAAATATTTGTGGCTTCAGACGTCAGGCCTTCTTTATGAAATTCATTTAGCTAGGAATATTTTGCAGCGAGGCACTCATTACTACATCCTAAAGCACTTGATTCACTCTTACACACCTAAAAGAATGAATGTTTTCACAATAAGAAAATATGCTCTTTTAACACACATGTACATGCATCTGACAATTTTCATGTGATATTAACATGATTCATTTTTCTCTACTTCATAAATAGTGCTTTTCTTCTTTTCATTTTTTTTTATGTGAAAGTGTGATGAATGGGGGAAAAATAAAATGGATTTATTATAGTGAGTGTATTGTTATGATTTTATTATTAATAGCGGTGGTATTGTTGTTTCGTTATGTTTGATTTGTTAGTGGTTCTCTAATATTTTAACAGATTTTGACGATTTGAATGAATATTCAATAAAATGTATGATTTTAACAGCATTTTGCGTTTGCTTTTTACTGATTGAAAGTGTGATTAAGCCTTTCACATCTTAAATAAGATGAATTTTGGTTATGTTGGGTCACTTTTGACAGTCATCTCAATATAGCTGTAGATTTGTTTGGATGTATAAACTGAAGAAACTACTGAATAGGCCCTACGTCTATTTATATTCAGTTTAAAATGAATATAATGTAAGTGTTTAATGTAAAAAATTTTACTTTTACATTCTTTGCAAGTTTTCTGACTGAACTTTTTTACTCCATTAAAAAAGTAACTAATTGGATTACTTAGTTACTTTTTATTGAAAGTAATGCATTACGTTTCTTTTGGCAACTGTAAATACCCTTTCACACCAAAAGTGAAATGAATAAGCCTGAGGCTGAAGGAAGTGCCTCTGCATTTACTCTCAGTTTCTCACGACAGGGACAGGAGCGGCGTCAGTAAATACATGGAAAAAACAAAGTAACTTGCAATAATTATTTGAAAAAGTAACTCAAATTTTCTTGTAAATTTAAAAGGTAAGCATTACTTTATTAGTTACTTGAAAGAAAGTAATCTGATTACATAACTTGCGTTACTTGCAGTGTTGGGCATAGATCCTAGTAAATAGTTACAGTAATAATATTACATTTTGCAGTAATTACTAATAAGATTTCAGTAATAATATTACAATTACTATCCATAAAACAGCTAGTTACTTAGTTACTTTCGAAGCCTCAACCCCTACTGATTTAAAATCCAATAATTCCTAGATTTATTTTCATTATTTTCACAACTCGCACAGGCACATGAAGTCACCAGTGCAGCAGACATATGGAATATGAAAAAGCTTACATTCAGCGGATGGAAATATTGGCATGACATTGATTTTCTCGGGAGAAAAGATGATCTGAACACTAAGTTGTGGCATTACTTTACTCCCTCTGATCCTGATATAAATTGTATAAAATCTTTTTAGGGAATAAAACATTTTCTTATGAACGTATATGATTTCTTTTGATAAAATACATCAGGGAATGTAATCGTATATGGGTATAACAGAGAAATTGTAGCTACAATCAGCTTCAAGCTTCACATGGCAATGAGATTAATACAACTTTTACTTAAACTTTTCTATTATAATCACCTCTGAGTGCTTTGTAATAACTTCTGACTGCGACCCAATGTGGATTTTGGTCAAATGATGAGGCAGAAATATACTGTATTTTATGGGGAAGATATGCAGTTTATGTGGGGCATGAAAGAAAAGTAATGTAACTAGTAGTGTAACTAATTACTGTTGCCCGAAAGTAATAATTAAAGTAATAATAAGCCTATTACTTTTGAAAGAAGTAGTAATGAGTAATATAGGCTATTACATTTTTTGAGTACCTAGCCCAACACTGGTTACTTGTAATGCACTACCGCCAACACTGCTCAAATATTAATGTTCCTCCAACTTATATTTGTCCATCACTGTGTCACGAGGGTCTGTGTCTTACAGTAATTAGTGCTGTCAAACGATTAATCACGATTAATAAAAGTGTTTGTCTACATAATATATGTGTGTGTGTACTGTTATTATGTATATATAAATACAAACACATTCAGTACATATTTTGAAAATATTTATATGTATTTACATGTTTATATTTATATTCATATAATTTATATTATGTATAAATATATTTAATATATAAACATAACATTTTCCTTAAATATATACATGCATGTATGTGTATTTAGATAAACATAATAAATATACACAGTACAAATACATATATTAAGTAAACAAACACTTATTTTGGATGCGATTAATCGCGATTAATCGTTTGACTGCACTAACGGTAATATAAATATTGTGTTATGTTTTCATTCATAAAATGAAAGTTATTTTTTTCCCTTTATAAATGAAATTAACATTTACTACCTCGCCCAGGTAAATAAATCACCCACTGGTAGCTAATCCTACGCAGGCTTAGTTTGTAATAGTTATTGAGGGCGCGCGGTGGCGCTGTGGAGCTGCTGCACAGTGGCGGCTTTCAGAAGCGCAGCTGGAGGCGGAGAGTCCAGTGATAGATAGATACACAGAGATGTGGAGTGGATGTTGACAATGTAGCCGCTTGTTTGGACAGCTTCGCTGTTATCTTCGTTTGTCTGTCGCCTGACCCGCAACTCTGACTTAATTCACTGCGAGTTTGACACATTTTACACATCCAGGAACAGACTGAGCGATGAACTCTGGAAGCGGACGAGAACAGTTCACTTGGACGCTTTGAGCATTTCCAGCGATGGACAAGCAGAAAGGTATTTCACTGTTTTCACATCGGTCTGAAGTCTATGAGTGCAGTGCTCCAGTTAAACCCTCATATGAACCACATTCGATCTACTTCATATCATCTACACAGACATTTTCCATAAGAAATAGTTTTTTTTGTGTGTTTACAAGTTGGAGTGCTGTGATGAAGTGGTTTAAACTCGTGAGGTAGTTGAAGGGCTTATTTACAAACTCATTCTGAGCCATTGAGCTAGATACTCTATCCTAAGTTACTGACTGTGAGTCACTTGGATAAAGCCACTTGTTAGTACTCACTGACTGGGCAAGTAATCATATTGAATAGTTTCAGTATGAGAACTTTTATGCCAGTATTATCTCATTTAGTCATAAAAGTCTTCAGCAGAAGTCACAAGTCTCCAGTTTCATTAACTTGTATTAATGCAGTTGAGTCTTTTATTCAAAGTGACTTACAGTGCCTGAATGTGACCTTGGACCACAAAACCAATCATAAGGGTACATTTTTTGAAATTGAGATGTGTAGATCATCTGAAATCTGAATAAATAAGCTTTCCATTTATGTATGGTTTGTTAGGATAGGACAATATTTGGCAGAGATACAACTATTTGAAAATCTGGAATCTGAGGGTGCAAAAAAAAAAAAAATCTAAATATTGAGAAAATCAGCTTTAACGTTGCCCAATTGAAGTCCTTAGCAATGCATATTACTCATCAAAAAATACGTTTTGATATATTTACGGTAGGAAATTTACTAAATGTCTTCATGGAGCATGATCTGTACTTAATATCCTAATGATTTTTGGCATTAAAGAAAAATCGATAATTTTGACCCATACAATGTATTGTTGGCTATTGCTACAAATATACCCGTGCTACTTATGATTGGTTTTGTGGTCCAGGGTCACATATGTCTTGAATCAATCCCACTGTGATTTGAACCTACAACCTTCCACTAAACTACACCAGCAGTGTAAAAGGTCATCCATTTCTAAACACATCTTAGCAACTCGTTCATAACTCAAAAAGACCGAGAGGTGTTGAATATTTCAGTGCTGATGTCTCATAATTGCAGTTATTGTTGTTGTAGCCGTGTAGATTTGATCATTGTTCTGGAATGTCAGTAATAGTCCTCCAGTTTTCCCCATCAGCCTCACCGCCACGACCCAAATCTCAGGAGAGGCGGGAGTTTCTCGGTTTGTTGAAGTAAAGGTCAGAGAGCAGTGCTAATTTCACCAGCGGCGGTGTAGTGTGAAGTCTGACAGGAGCAAATGAGCTGCTTTACTGCCTTCCAAACTCCTTTCTGTTTCTGAAAACAAAAACCAGGTTGGGAAACA